AGAAATCGAAGCTCACTAAAAACGGTTCTGAAGGGATATAGCTAGCTAAAAACTAGTGTGAGCTGCGTCGGTGTTTGTAATGAAACAGTAATGATGAAAAGGTAAATTATACACCGTGAAAAGATGAAAAAACTTACTGACGTTTCGGACGCTAGTCCTTCGTCGGAGTAAACAAAAAACTTTACTCCGACGAAGGACTAGCGTCCGAAACGTCAGTAAGTTTTTTCATCTTTTCACGGTGTATAATTTACCTTTTCATCATTACTGTGACATTTAGATTATCAATTTTATCTGAAATTACCATTGAATCATTTCGAAATACTCTTTATTTCAAATTCGCTTTCATTGACCAAAACTGCATGGCATAGAACGATATTTCCCACCGTAACCATCAGGCAAAGCTAGTAGTAAATTTTGTTACAACCCGTGGGGTTTTCCGTTTGGGGATATGTAGTCATCCACTTTTCGGATGTTGACATTCCGTTTTCTGGTAAAACTAAGACCACTTTTGATTTTTCATTTTACCGCATGATTATGCATCTTCACAAAGGCCATTTCGAAAAATAGCGTTCTAACTTACGAGTCCACTTCAGAAATTGGTTGCGAAGTGCGAAGTTGTAAAGTGCGTCGTATTCGAACTTAAAACCATGAATCGGCCACGCCGTGATGAACTCTTTTTGTGTTTAAATTGACTAGGTTGGATAAACAATCGATGAGAATTGCTGTACGTCTAGTTGACGGAAGAAGTCCTAACGAGGGACGTGTAGAAGTACGATACAACGGTACTTGGGGAACCATATGCAAGTCCAAACGCAGGAGTTACATCGAAACTGCTGACGTCATATGTAAAATGCTGAATTACAAAAGAGGAGTCAGAATAGGAACTGCTCTTGTTAAAGGAACTGGTCCCATCTTACTTAAAGGACTGGATTGTTATGGAGGTGAACGATCTATTGATGAATGTCCTCATGACGGCTGGCTTAACACCAATGGCTGTCATCACAAACAAGATGTCCGTGTGATATGTCATGGTCGAAAACTAGGTAAATAAAACCGTTATAATCATAGTCAGCATCTTATTTCAATAGCTATTACTATAGCAACAATCCTTGCATAATGAGCCACATGTACTTAAAGTGTATATGACACGAAAACATT